AGACATACCTTTCTTTGTGCATGTAAGTTTGCTTTGTACTAAGAGTCACAGAAAAAAAAATAAAGAGAAGGGAAGCAACAGATTTTCTGGTGTCTCTACATTTTCTACTTCAGCTTAGCATACAAAAATGTGTATTAGCTTTGAGCAAGCTACTTTAAGCAGGAAAGCAGTCTAGCTGGATCAAGACAGTAATGCATGGTAATTTAACTCAAAGATTTATGGACTGCTGCATTAAAAAATACTTCTGGTACTCATTTAACACCTTCTAAGTTAGCTTGGACACAGATGAGACTATATACATATTGTTAATACCTCTTTTTTAAGTTATTCCTGACCAATCCAGAGAAAAAATAGATTCAAAAAGTGGAGAGATTTATATAGCATATTGTTTCATTACCACACTGTTGTTCATTCTAGAAGACTAATATTAATTCACATGGGGGAAAAAAAAGGCCAGTAAGCAAAACATGTTAACATGACCCTGTCACTATACAGCATTAAACACCAACGGATGAGTCATCATTTAAAATTTAAAGACTTCTGTCTCCCTAGTATCACAGCAACACCTATCCATAACAGTCTTGTTACCTTTTGTTAAAGATACAGGAGAAAGAAGGAAAACTTTCAAAGCCTTGAAGATGTAAAAGGTAAGTGAAACTTTCCTGAAGACCTCATTTATTTCCGTTCCTTTTAGCTAAAGGACATCTGAGGGGGCACAGATGGACGGACAATCTTTCAGATGGTACTAACTGTTCTTTGTTCCACTTTATCTGAGTTGAACCTTGGTTCTGCTTCTTTGAAAATAACTGGGGTACACACAGAAGGAGAAAGAGTGCTAAAAACACAGGACTGTTACTGGTGTTTCCATATTCAAATTGACTCTTGGAGAAATTCAGGGGAAGCACAGAATAGTGACAGCTACTCCAACATCTGGCAAAATGCTGCCCGCTTTAGACTTCAGTTCTTCTGACTCGGTCACAGGTCACAGAAGTACTGACAAGACACAGTCTTTGTTTGGGGTCTTATACCTGTTTGCTTTTCTGCTTATATAAATGTAGGATGTTTTCTGTAAAATGTTTTTTGCTTCTATAAATGTAAGACAGTCAGAGGTGGAAGCCATCATGAGAGCTGTACAGCAACGATGTAAATTAAATGAATTCCTGCTTTCAAAGCCATAAACAGGAAAAGAAACCTAATAGAGGTATTTGCTAAACAGCTCCCTGAATAGGCCATAGCATGGAAATTAAAAATACCACATTATCTATATATGCTCATAAGGCAAAACTTGTACTGAAGCCAACTACACACTTAAGTTAAACAAAGAAAACACAGCAAGTAAAACTCTACTAGTTATCAAATACATAAAAAATGGGAATTAAGGTCATTTTGAGACTTTATTCAGCTCCTGAATGCATTTATTCCAAAACTATTTTGCAGAAGTTATTTCCTGTTGCTCATTAGTTAACTACACCTCAGATTTCAGCACTTCAGCCCACAAGGAAATAAAGTGTTCCACATCTACTCCCCTTTAGCACCAACTGTGTACAAAACAGTGCCCGATCAATCAGAGAAGGATGACTGAGTGCAGTGGTGAAGAGAGGAGAGGACAGAGGGAAAAGAACAAGAGAACGTGCTGCGAGAGCTGCTTAAGGTTGCATTCCTGACCATATTCCTTTCATCTCCCAAAATGTTCAGTTTAAAATCCCTATCATGGATACTGCCACATCCTCTCCATTCTGAGCACTAACAGCAAACTGTTCATCAACCACTGCCTGCTTGGACATAGAGCAACGTAACTGAAAGATGGTTGCTCAGAGGTTGCATTTTAGACAGCCCATGGCAAACCCAGTGGAAAAATGATCTGTATATTTTGTAAAGCTGTAGTTCACAAAGCTAGAGTGGCACCAAGTGGTGAGCAGCTGAACTTGGATCTTGTTATGTATATTTTTGCAGTCATACAACAAGCCACACTTGCCATAGTAGGAGTTAAAATAAATGGCTCAGCAGTTTGCTTCTACGAGGGAGCCTAGATTTATTAGAAATCCTATTTCACACATTCACACATTAACAAGGGATAGAGCCTCCCATAAAACACTCTTAAGTGATTAAGAGTTGAGAATAAGTTGACAAAAAGCATATGACTGTCAGTAATGAGCAGAAAGTGATAACGTGTCCTGATTTTTATCATCAGATGCAGTCAGAATCTTTATCACACCATTTGACTAACACTTAAAGCTAACCCATCTTCCACGTTACAGCTATTACATCCCTTGCTGTTTTCTCAAGGAAGCACCCATGTATTTATTTGCCTCCCTTCAAACACTTAAGATGTGTGCATGCCTCCCCTCCCATCCAATTCTTAAAAATATCCTTAAAAATATCTTGCACGTTGTTGCTTCTCTTCACAGCTCGCAAACAAAAAACAAGACAAAATACTGTGTACCATCAAAGATCATGTCAGGAAAAAGATTTTTCCCTGTAGTTAGTTGTAATAATCATACACTTCATCCTACTTCTCCCTACAATATGCCAGGTTTCTAATCAACCCTGGAAAAACACAAGAGGAAAACAGATGAGTATGTCAGGAACAGAAAAAGAAAAAAAAAAAAAACACGACAGTAACAAGCAAAACACATACACACACCTTATTCCTGTGCTGTGAACACAGGAGACTGTTTTCATTGTGCATTTCTACCAGTTAACACCATATATGAGCCGTTACCCAAGCAGCTGATGGAAGCACACACTCACAAAGAACAAAGTACTTGGTGTCCCAATCTGTGGGCTACTTTGGCCCAGATTTTCAAAAAGTGAAAAGAAATTTCACCAGTATAACTAAATAAGAAAATATAGTATAGTTACAGTAACTAGTACAACTAATAAGAAATAAGAATTTTCTCTCGTATAACTTCTAAGTTGTTGTCCTAGGAACAGTAACTAAATCAAGTCTGAGTATCCTTATGAGCATGAAAAAGTTACTGTGATACCATGACCAGATCTTTAGAAGAAGAAAAGCTCTGTGGAGCTAGAGACAGGAGCAGTTACGCATTTGACTAATGACTTCAATATTTACAGGCAGGGAGAAGAGATAAGCTGAAAAAAATGGAACCTTATTAAACCCGACCTTTGTTGTACACCACCCACCACAGTAACGATAGGCAGGTTTATACACAACATACTTGTAAAGATGAACACCCAACAGTTGGGGTGAGACTTCAGTAATTCCAAAATCTAGCAAAGGCTCAGAGGTTCAAGAAGCCACAGAAGTCCCTGAAGCTCTTGACCTCTTTCAGTTGTGGAGGCTGTAAGCAATCTCAGTCTTCACTTTAGGAGTCAGATGACACAAAACCCAAGCTATGAAAATCTTCACTAAACAAAGCCACTAAACGCCTTGGGATTTTTTCATTATTATTATTATTTTTAAATTAAATATCAGGTGGTCACATTCTGTGTATGAAAGTCCTGACTGCAAATAAATGCTCTGTCTATAAACTCTACTTTCTTACTTTTAAGAGATGGTAGCAATGTTGCTCTACAGATTAACACCAACTAACTTCTGATTCCAAAGCAAGTGATGCATCAAGTCTTTGTATCGTTTCCCTCTGAGGGGTAATTAATGGATATTTTGCAAGCTGCTTGGAGATCCTCCAATATGTGGGGTTTTCTCCCCTACATGCAGTGCAATGTCAAACAGTTAGTGTTACACAGGTAACTTCTGTAAGATTTTTCATACATCACCTGACAACCTCATGCTTAAAATCAAGCCTTAGTAAGACTAGTCACATCTAAGGCACCACCACCTTCACTTCCTCACATACTCAATAGCTTCCTCTGTCCAAGCTTGAAAATAACTTAAAGAATGAGTTTTGCAGACAACCATGCTGCATGGAAATACCTAGTTGCTTCTCTGTCTCCTCCAAACCCAGCCATTTGCCCAATTTCACTACCAAAACAGGTATGCTTCAGTGATAAAATATTTGGTGATAAGTTATCAGCTACATATAGTGTATTTAAACCCAAAACAAGCACCTAATCTGAAGAGCCATACTTCCTACTAATTGATATTATGTGAATTTCAAAACTACGAAGTAATACAAGTGGGTTGTCTACAAAATACACAAATACTGCAGGTACTTATATTTTGGTCATTTTGATGGATAGGGAAGATACAAAACTATCTGGGCATTCAATGAGTTCAGTATACAGCCGTTTATATTAGACAGAAGGACAGCCAGGCTTCCTTGGAGAAGTAGAAACTCACATCATGTTGTTCAATAGTGCTCATCTCCTTGGAGACAGGACCACTGGTAGGCAAGTGCTTGGGAATAAAAAAATGTACCTAGCAGTTTATTGTAAATAAGTTGCACATTATATTTCAGTTTGAATTCACTCATGTTTATCCTGTGATCAGTGGTTTAGGATGAACAGCAGACTAACAAAGACTGCTTTCTTAAATGAGTATCTAAAATCAGATTTTTGTTGGATAGAATCTAAACAGCAAGGGGAATATTTAACCATCTTAGAAGAAAATCCATAGATAAACCACCACTGGTTGCAGATGGCAGAACTAATCATCTTTATCACCTCCTCTTTAACTCGGGCTTTTAACAGAATGTTTTGTCTAAATATCTAAGTATCAGAATATCCTCTGATCACAGTTTCTTGATAACTGAGCTTTAATAATGCCAAAGTGTTGGTATTTAGATTGCTTAGCAGATACAACTTGTGCCAAGTTCATCCTTTCATAGTGAGGAAGTAGTCTACTTAAAGTAGCCATGCAAATTTAGCAGCATCTTCCATCACAGCTGGTAATATTTACTCAAGAAAATAGTAATTCTGATGGAGACTGCTATACATTTGATAATTACCAATGATGACCCCCCTTGAGGTCAGGCTGCATATTTATTTTGGCATATTTCTGGCCATATACAATATTTCTCAATTAACATTTTATGGTTCCCTTCAAAGTTCAGTGTACATATTCATCCACCAACGAGGAATTGACAACTGCATCCCAAAACATTTATTCATCTAAATCATGAATGTGAACAGTGTGTTACATGTGGTGTACATAGCTCATCTTTTGCACCTTTAGTTATTAATTGCTGTACAAATAAAAGATTCTCTGTTAATATCCACTTTGCACTGAGATAAATGACAATGCAGAGAGCACAGTACAGCACACTGAAAGGGCTCATTACAGTTACTGCTGTCATAAATGACCACGTTTGGTTTTATTTAATTTGCTTTCTGAGAGCATTACAACTGGCTGAAATATCCTAAAGGCCACTAATTATCCTTCTTGACAGAAGAGAATTACAAGGAATTTCTCCCAAGTCCTTTTACTTCTCCTAGTTCTGTCTAATCACTTGGTACTTGTCTGCAAATGGATTTAGTCTCATACATAGTAATAATGATGACAGATGTTTTTCTGCCAGTCAAACTTAACATTCAAACTTAGGTTGATTATTATGAGTAATCTAAATTTCCTCCATAATTAAGGCTGCAACTTTGTTCCCATTAAAAAGTTCAATTTTGACCTCCCACTCGCATCCATTAATGAAGGAGAACTTCAGTGGTATGTGAGAACTGTGGCATAAGAATTTTCCTTCTTGTTCAGAGTAAATCGGAGTTTCCTTCTTCAATTTATGGCAGTGCATTATAGATATTGCCATCTGTCAGTTATCTGTCACTTTATTGAAGGGAGAGAAGGAAGCAGAAGGAGAAAGTAATATAACTTTACTGGACTCAAGTAACGTCCTCATGCACAAAACTAAAGCTGAAACAGTAAAGTCTGACTTTAGATGTAATTGACAGCTCCTTTCCTAAGATCAGGATCGGACCATGGGCTCTTAAGTAACAGGCAACAAACAAGCACTACAGCTGTCTTCCCCATACTTTGCCTCATTAAAACCAACAATCTTTCTCTAAGAAACAAAAATCCTAACTCCATCAGTAAGGGGACACAATAAAAAGCAGGAAGCTTTCCTAACACAGCAGAACTGATTTGGATGAGTTGCATGTAGTTCAATGACAACTCCTTTATGGTGTTCCAATATTAAAGGTGTTCAGATTTCTAAAAATTCCTCTAACCTCCACTTTTGGGCAGTTCGTTACAAAGAGAAGAAAGGCAATAAGACATGGCTTAATGGATTTATCTACTCAAGATCTAATACACAGGGCAATGTTTTGCTACCCAGAGTCCAATTTTAAAAGTTATTAAGATTTTAATAGGCTCACTAGATCTGTATGTTGACTCTGACAACCTAATTTAGGCTCAGTGGCAGTTTCAGAGATGCTGCATTAGCTGTTGGAGCTGGCCAGTTTGAATAAACTCCTTTCTTTAGGAGAGCCTCAAAACAAAACAAACTCTTGAGAAGTGCTGAGATTAAACCCTTTGAAAACAGCTGTGGGATGTGAATAGGCTTTGTAGAACCATGACCGATATTCAATTTCTAAACTGAACTGTATTTATCATGCTGCAGAGAAGGCACCAAAAGAATTGCCTTTCTGAACAATGTTAGGAAAAACATTTTTTTTCTTCTTACCACATGCGAAAACTTTGAATAACAGAAGGAAGACAAATACAGTTTGAGGAAGCTGTAGATGAAGAAATCTGTCTTTATAAAAAACTAGTCACAAGTTGTGGAATGAAATCATCAAAAATCACAGTCACTTTTCGGTCAGAACTTGAGTGACAAGCCACTGAAGCGATTTCCATGCAACTATTTTTTTTTTCCTCCCCGATGAAGGTCTAAAAAAAAAGAAAACATCAGTTTCTTTTCTGTTGTTTTACTGCCTGAAGTTTTTCCTCTACATCATCTATTTTTATCTTGTCAGGAACAAAAAGAGGACAAAAGTGAAATAAAGTCTCAGTACGAACATTTCCAGAGCAGTATATTTAATGCTAGTAATTATTTATTTAGTGTTAGCGATAACTTAAGCTTACTAATGAGCAACTGATGTTGTTCCTTAGCTACTGAAAACATTTAAGCATATTATTTAATAAAATAGAAGCCTAAGACCACTCATTTACTACAGGATAGTCTCATTAGGAGTCTTCCTAGATGCTTGTTAGCAGCATGAGCATTTCTAGCTCAGGCTCTGGAAAATAAGAAATGCCAAAACACTTGACCACTAACTTTCTTCTATCAGCAGCTATTAGCTTTTCCCTTAAGAACCTTTGGACAGTTCTAGAAAGACAGCAGATGAAACAACTGGAAGTTGGACCTTATGTTCCAAGTGCTCCGTACCACCCCACACAAAATGGATCATGTTCTGGTAACACAAGGCATAGCAAGCTCCTTAGTAAATGCTAATACAACCATTTCTACCTAAACAAAATGCAAATGCGTGCCAAAAATGTTAAGTCCACAATGCTGGCACCAAACAGGTGAAGGCTCAGTTGATAGGGCCCAGCCACCAGGGGCATTCTCTGCTATCCTTCATTTGGCACAGCAGACCATTAACAGCTACGGGTGGTTTGAAGGAGATTTCTTTTCAACAATGTCAGACACTGAACGTGTTGAAGAGTGATTCAATGCTGTGGGCTTCTAGGCCATCCGAAATAATTCAAGAGCTCTCTTCTTACCTTGAGCACTTGGGTCTAACCCAAGTCTTGAGTCTTCTTAGTGTTTATGCATCACTATACAATCCTCAATTTATATTTTGCAGCCAATACTTTCCATCTTCATCCCATTAGTTGCTGTCACCAAGTTCACATCCCTTTTAATGGTTTAAGAGCATCTTCTTCAGGATGCTTGCATATAACATTCATTCCCAGGTGAAGTGAAGGAACCAGTATTTTTCCCTTTTTTGCCCTTATTACTGTCTTGACTTTTCAAGAGAAAATAAAACATCTATGCATCTGTATTATACACCAAAAAGAGTAACACAGCATTAGCAGCTGGGGCTGATATACCCAGTTAGATGCAGTTATTTTATTCCCATGTTTTCATTTGATCACAGACCAATTAATACCAGTAAGAGTATTACAAACTCCTGAAGAAGGCAGTTAAAACATCACATGACATTCAATGAAGGTTCTTCCTAAACACCCAATGAAATTGGATCCAAAGTACACAATTACTGCACCTTCTAAAGCTCTGCTTAAACATATATCCTGCAAACTCGGGATTGTCTGATCCAGCATTTCACTGAAGCCTGCTAAGCTTTTGGCCTCAGTGAAATCTTGCTGCTCATTGCTGCTGTAGTAATGCCTCGTTTTTCTCTTCAGTCAAACAATTGCGTTCTGTTTTTTATTACTAAACCCATAATTTTAAGGCATCAAGACCTTGATTTTATGCTGTTTCCTTATTGTTTTGAGTATTATTTTTTTTTTTTTTGCAACATTTGTCTTAAAACGCAGCACTGGCATTCTCTTCTGTACAGCAAAATAGGCTGAGAACTGACACTTCACCAGGAAGGGCAGGGCACAGCTCACCACAAGGGAGCTGCCTTTGGGGTGCCCTCAAAGGGCAGAATCCGCCGGGTTGCATCACAGCCTATGTCAGTCGAACCAAAGTCCCACCACAATAGATGGAGGCCTGGTGATCCCCCTCACCCCATGAATCTCCAGCGCACCCCAGGCTCACACCAGAGATACAGGGAACAAAAGGAATGCAAGTGCTGAACAAATGCTAGGACGACAAAGTGCCAGGCACAAGCTGAGCCTAAGCTCACCACAAGAATTAGATTCACATTTATCTGGTTTGAAGGGACTGAATACGGCTTAAGAAGAGGCACAAAGCAATCCCCTACTCTCGTCAGTCAACCAGAGGCCCAGGGCCCCCCACCACCACTTACAGGGAGGCCGCCATGTAGCCCAGTGTCAGGCCCGGCCCAAAGGGCAGCTCACAGCACACAGGCAAGAGCCTATTTTAGCTTTATTTACACCTGCCATGAGGGACCACTTGATTAGTCTTGGAATCTAGCACATAACAACTTTAACACTTATATTTAGATGTCTTTTATGCAGAGCTCATAAAAACCCCTGCCTTTTCTTCACGCCTTCTTAGCTGCTGGTACTAAGGTTTCTGCTATCTCTATAAGTTTACCATGCATATACTGGAATAGGAATTCTTCTCATTTCACCCACAAGCCCACAGGTGAATTCTATTCACCACAGCATAAGACTAACACACTCACCTAAGATTACCTGATTTTTCTAGAAAATTGTTGCTTCATGAGAAGTGTATTGTCAGCACGTGTCAGCACCTGGCAAGGCTATGATACAACAACTCCAGAGTCAGCTCCAGCCTGAAACACATATATGGTAATGGTGATTACCAATAAAACTTGGTAATGCCGACTTTCAGTCAAGTGACCCATCAGTGGGACTGCTGCATTATCACAGACAAAAGAAGAATGGAAAGATTGATGTCTCAACAGTGGCAGCCCAGAAAAAAGCATTAGCCATCCTGTAACATCAAATACAAGGATGTGCAGATTCCTTGAGACCCACAATGGAAGTAATGGGAGATTTAAATAAGCAGGTACCAACTTGTTCAGCAGCGAAGGGACAGCTCCATCTTAGTTATCAATCACACAAAAAACAAGCCACACCAAAGGCCTGTCCCTCTGCAGCCCATGGAGTACCATGGTGGAGCAGGGTTCCACGCTGCAGCCCATGGAGACCACGGTGGAGCAGGTGGACCTGCACTGACAGGCTGTGTAGACCCACCACATCCCACCCCTCACCTCTGTGAAAAGCATATTTAAGAATAATCACAATATATTCTTACTTTACAATTATAACAATCTCCACAAACTTCACTAACATTGAAAAGAAAAATAACTCCCCACGCCAAAATAAACCTAACATCTTCACAACACTGATGAGGTGGACAATTTACACACACACCACCCCTCATCTCTTCACCACACTAACATAAAACATATTCCTCACAGTTACTGCTTTCTTAAATTCTTCACAATTATTACATTCATAACAATCATCCAGTCCATGTTTTGCCTGTTACTTCTCTCAACTATCATCCTTATCTCAAATTCCTCGATCCCCACGTTGGGCACCAAAAAGGACTGTGGTGGTTTTATTCGGGTGGGCAGCCGAGCACCACTACAACCGCTCTTACTCCCCCTCATCAACGAGAAACAGGGAGAAAATATGATGAAAAGGGCTCAAGGGTTGAAACAAGGACAGGGAGATTGTACAGTAATTATTGTGACGGGCAAAGCAGACTCAGCATAGGGACATATTCAGATTTATTGCTTATTACTAACAAGCTAGAGAAGTGAGAAACAAAGGAAAGAAACCAAAAGCACCTTCCCCCCCATCCACCCTCTTCCACCTCCTCCCCCCGAGCGGCGCAGGGGAATGGGGGAACGGGGGTTATGGTCAGTCTACAGCGCTTCTTCTCTGCCTCCCCTTCTCGGTCCCTCTCATCCCCTGTGCTGTGGGGTCCCTCCCACGGGATGCAGTCCTTGATGAACTGATCCGGCATGGGCTTCCCACAGGTAGCAGCTCTTCCAGAACTGCTCCAGATATGGGTCCTTACCACGGGGTCCATCCCTCAGGAGAAAACTGCTCCAACCTGGCTCCCCCACGGGCAGCAGCTCCTGCCAGGTCACCTGCTCCTGCGTGGGCTCCTCTCCACAGGCTACAGGTCCGGCCTGGAATCTGCTCCGCAGGGGTCTTCCACAGGCGGCAGCCTCCGTCCATGCAGGGCCACCTGCTCCACTGTGGTCTCCTCCAGGGGCTGCAGCGTGGAACCCTGCTCCACCGTGGTACTCCATGGGCTGCAGGGGGACATCCTGCTTCACCATGGGCCTCACCACAGGCCGCAGGGAACTTCTCCTCCGGCGCCTGGAGCACCTCTCCCCCTCCTTCTTCACTGACCTTGGTGCCTGTAAGGCTGTTTCTCACTCCTCTCATTCTCCCAGCTGCTGTGTGGCACACAACTTTTTTCCCTGTCTTAAATATGCTCTCAGAGGCACAAACAACATCACTTACTGTCTCGGCTCTGGTCAGCAGTGGGGCCCTTACCTTACATGGGGCAGCTTCTAGATTCTTCTCACAGAAGCCACCCCTATGGCCCCCAGCTACCAAAGCCTTGCCACGTAAACCCACTGCAAAGCCAAACACTTATTCACATATTAGAGATTTGGCTTAGTCCCCCAGACACTCTGGCGCTCCAAAGACACCAAGTCTCTCCCCAAAGCACAAGGATTTGTATCGCCCACTTACTACTCTCCATCCCTCTAAAAAGAAATTAGAATTCATCAGCAAATTCAAGAGCTCTGTGAAGTCCCTCTGAACAGACAACACTTTATTAACCTAATCAAAGTATCTCTGTATCCACACATTTCAATTCAACACTACATTTTACCCTCCTCCTTTCAGCACTGAATCACAACTACGTTCACCTTGGTTTCCCAACACTACAGCTAATCTGAATACACCAAGCCCACTCAACAGCACTGCAGTATTCAGTAATTTCCTTTCCTCTTGCTTAAGTGTTATGACACAAGTAATACAAGTAAATCATACATCCCAAGCCAACCAAAATGATGCAGCAGAACAGCATCACTGCACTATACTTACACAGTTCTAAACCAGACTGGTAGTTTGGCTAAGGGCAGTAAGCTATGCTGATGATGTCAGTGAAGAGACACGCAAATAAGCAAGCAATCCTGATTCTAATGAAAGTTTTTAGACCTCATACTACTGTCATTACTGTCATGAAACCACTTTAAAAAAAATATCATCTTCAAAGCGCAAGACATCAAGTACTTTTAACATGTCTTTGAAATACTTCTTAGATGGGAAATGACCCAGGCTTGTGTTTCAGACAATACCCATCTGTGTGCACACAGCACATCTTGAAGATTTTTGTATAAATCAGTGAGAAAGGATGGCAACAACCCATTTTATCATCACCTGTGTGGAGCAGATACCTCCCAACTGTGGAAGTGGTGCATATTAAGCAGCAGTAGATAATCTGCATTTCAGAGCACCGCAACATCTCAGCATGGCAACAGCTACGTTAAGGCAAAAGAGCTTTGCAGCAACAGCAGGTGCATGCCACTGACAAACACATCACGAGCAGCCCATAAGCCTGAGTTAATACTACCACTCTAGAATTCAGCCTGTGAGCTCATATCTAAGAAATTAGTATAAAATCAAGTTCAGAACAAAGCACTGCTACAAAAGAGATATTTTAAAGCAGCTGACTACTCTGCAACAATCACAATATGTCTTTTGAAACACTTTATCAACCTAATTAGTAATCTGGATCATTATCATGAAGATGAAAAGAATACATGTATTACATACACAAAACACATACATACAGATTGACTTTTAAGCCCTATACAAGTTACCCATCACAATTAAAGTCATTCACTGTGGAAAACTGCTATATACATATATATATGTATGTATATATACACACATCAGGCTAATTATTTTGCCTTTTTCTTTAAAAAACAAATGGGCACACTGCTGCTAGTGGGCAAATCCTCATCATACATTATATCACATTTACTAGCAATTTTGATGAAAACTACAGGTGGAGACAGATTATAATGGGAACATCTAATTGAAATTCATCTCCATTTTGCTTCAGATTGAAGACATGCTGCTTGAGCCCTGAAACATATTCAATTTCATTCAAATTGTATGCAGATTTTCAGGCAAAAACAAATTTAAAAAAAAAAAGTTTCATAGTCCTAGAAGAGTTCAGACAGTACTACAAATGCTTTATAACTGTGTTTTAGGCATCTGTATACTCTTCTTTAGTTTTCAAGACTCCCAGCTTTTCTAGCTCTACAAAGCCTCCTTACCGAGGCAGGCAAGGAGGAATACAAATCCCACAGAGGTCTATCCTTTGACAAAAGTTTGACAGCTTCCACTGACGTGTCAAGTCACTGGAAGTCCTTGTGGATTCACTGGGACATTAGCTGTTCAGTATGGTTCCCTCCAACACATTGCAATCAAAACAGACAACCTATCTTTCACCATTCAAAAAAAAAAAAAAAAAAAAAAAAAGCATGACTCCAAGTTGCAGTGGTTAACGTGCTGCACCCCCAGTTCTGTTTCTTGAGTTTTGCAAATGAGAAGACTGAAAATTGCCAATTATACAGAAGATTTGGAGGGGGGTAAAGCACATGACAAAATGATTTAATTTAGATACAATCCAGAAATCTAGTGTTACAATAAAGTTACAGTAAATCTCATTTTAGTAACTGTCCAATACCACACAAGACATCTGAAGCACTACATGTAGCAAATAGTAGCTAATATGGCTTTTCCTCCTCCTGCTACTCATTGATACAATCCCATTTTAAGTTAATCCAATAAAGAGCCTACTCCATCACATTAATTAATCTAATTACAGGATAGTCAATGCTACTCTATTGCTTATGCTCTTACCTCCAAGCACACTAGAATCCCCTATACTAGCTATAGGCACATAGCATACATTAGTCCTGAATGCTAAGGCCATCCCTGACTTTCAGTGTCACTATACCTGAAGTCAAAGAGAATACATGTAGGAGAGGAGTTAAGGATGCTAACAAGTTGATGACCATCTGGTATTAGCACTCATTTTGCCCAATGCTTTCCTAGCTAACTAAACTTCAGGTTTTATCCTCAATATTCCATTTCAGCTCAAAAATAGACCCAAGTTAAATATATATACAAAACATTTTCTTAAATGTTAAGAAGAGCAATAAATGATTAATAGAAGAAAACTAAATATTCATGAATCAAGTTGATTCTGAGAATGGACCCTGAATTAAAATTCAGTTTCAACAGGCCTTATTCATAAGGTTCAAAGATTTGTTACTGCATTTGATTTTGCTGTACACATGCAGGGAGCTAAGAGGTATTACATGTTGTAGTTTTTTATAAAACAGTAATAAATAAGTTTTTACCACTGTTTGAGAAGACGGTGGCAAGTCTACTCTCTATTACTGTTGCTTCAGACCACTACAGAATTCTCTTTTCACTGTTTATCTTCTCTTCACGCAGTACAGGAGTACAAAAGGTAAGCCTTCCTCTTTCTTGTTCTCATTTAGGAAACTATCATAAATTAAAGCTGAAACTCAACTACACTTAATTTTCCTGATACTGTTCCTCTTGAGGAAAAAAAAAAAAGTGGGAAGGGAAGAAGGAATAAGTTAATGAAAACCTTATCTGCACCCCTACCACACCAAATTTACAGTGAAGTTATGCAAGACAGTGGCTGCAACAAATTAAACTGGTAGCAATCTTCCACCTAGAAATTAAAGTGGGA